AAAACTTTCAATCCTGTACATCATAACCTCACAGAGGCACTCAACAAAACTAAACAAAACTAACTTGCTAACTTTCTACCCCAAGCCCCCTAGCTTCAAAACAATCAACTAAGCATTGGTTCAACAGACAACGACTCCAAATAATTCTCCTTGCATCAACTAGCAGTTGAGAAGGACTCCTTGCCGCAACAGAGCCATATAACCTCGCACATCTCTCCCGCCAAATAAGGCTGATATGAACACTCCAGCTCATTCTATTCAAAGAATGCACTGGAGAATCACTCGTCCACTTCATGACACACCACTCCAACACAGCATTCCAGCTTCCAAGCACATGAGGTGATGCCTCCCTCAAAACTTTGCAACTCAAAAATTGAAAATAAGAACAGTCCATGAACAAGTTATCACGATTCTCCATTCCTCCAGGACATAACAAACAGTGCCCAGAGAGCGGTTTACCCCACGCAATCAACTTATTCTGCAGTTTGAGCCTATCATTAATCACCAACCATAGAATAAATCCATGCCTGGGTATGATATGTTTGTCCCAAAGCATCTTAAACCATCTAACCTCAACATCCTTCTGCCTCAACGACTCCCACACCCTCGAAACAGAGTAAGAATTCATAGCCAATCCATCCCACTGCAACTCAGAACCAACTGCAGAAATGAAAGGCCTTACCCAGTCCCTAATTTGAGCAATCGCTTCCAGACCCAGGTCCCTGCTGCTGTACCTTTTAAATCCCACATAGATGCTTGCTTCACTCTATAACGTGTGACCCAGGCAACCCAAAGAGAACCCTCTGCTGCCAGAATCGCCCAAAGATGCCTGCAAACACATTCTTTGTTCCAAACTGAGAAGTTCTTTATACCCAAACCCCCTTCCTTTTTTGGCCTAGCAATGAACTGCCAGGCAACTACTGCTCTCTTCCTCAACGAGGTATCATTGATATCCCATAAAAACCTGCTACAAATAGACTCCACTTCTTTTATAACATACTTCGACAACAAAAAGATCCCCATCCAGAATTGCAGAACACTGGTAAGCACCGAAGTAATCAACTGCAACCTTCCTGCAAAACTAAGAACTTTTGCTCTCCAACTACTTATTTTTCCTGTAATCTTCTCAACCAACACCCTGCACTCAGTCTTAGTAAGCTTCCTAGTAATCAATGGCATCCCCAGGTACCTAACTGGTAAGTGACTATTTGGAAACTTTGAGTATGCAGAAATTCTTAACTTCTCCTCTTCTGGAATACCACCACAAAACAACTGGCATGTATCAGGGTTACATTTCAAGCCAGACATAGAATAAAAAGCATCCAAAACTCGACATACACCAGCAACCCCCCTGATTGACCCATTTGTAAATACAAGCAGGTCGTCTGCAAAGCATAGATGTGTAATAGCCAGTGGCTTACACCTAGGGTGATAGGGTATTTGATTCTGTGCTGCTGCTCTCTTCAATAAAGCATCCAAAACTTCCATAGCTATTGTGAATAAGTAAGGGGACAATGGATCCCCTTGCCTTAAACCTTTTGCCATATCAAAAGAACCACAGATCCCCCCATTTAGACTAACACTTATTCTGGAAGACTGAATACAAGCTCGTAACCAATCAATAAGCTGAACAGGTAAACCCATAACTTCAAGCACAAAGAAAAGAAACATCCAGTTAACCGAGTCAAATACCTTCATGATGTCAATTTTGATCGCACATCGAGGAGTAACATTCTTTCTATGGTAAGCTTTGACTAATTCTGCTGCTAGAAGTATATTATCACTAATAGAACGCCCCTTAACAAAAGCAAATTGTGAAGGAGAGATAAGCAAAGGGAGAACATCAGCTAACCTGTTTGCTAGCACCTTGGAGATTCCTTTATATAAGGTATTGCAGCAGGAGATTGGACGAAAGTCCTTCATTTTCTCAGCATTAGTAACTTTGGCTACCAGAGTGAAGAGTGTAGAATTAACTGCCCGAGGCATAACCCCTGAGCTGAAAAAATGAAGAGCAACATCCTCCACAAGAGTGCCAACTAAATCCCAGTGGAGCCTGAAAAACTTAGAAGGGAAGTCATCCGGACCAGGCGCCTTATTCCTCCCCAAACTGAAAAAAACATCCCTTATCTCCTTTCTTGTCACAGGGATAATCATTGTATCAGCCACTTCTGGAACAAGACACTTCAGCTGCAAATGATCATAAAAAGTTGTAGGCTGCAGCTGCACATCCGAGTTAACTGTTCCAATTAGCTCAGTATAGAATTTCACAGCTACTTTCCCTATTCCTTTGATATCTGTAACTTCTTTTCCCTGTTCATCTAGAATCCTTGATATCTGCTGCCTATGATTATGCACTTTCACAGTTTTATGGAAATAAGCTGTATTGAGGTCTCCTTCCTGCACACTCTGAATTCTAGCTTTCTGCTTATAGAAACTTTCTTCTGCCCTCTTTAGCTCAAGACAATGCTTTGCTAAATCCCTCTCCTCTTCAACAAGCAACACAGTAGGATTCTGCAACAACTCTGCCTGCACCACTTCCAACTTTCCTTCTATATCCCTTGCCTGTGCAGAAATGTCTGAATATACCTATCTATTAAGCTGCCTCAGTGTCTTCTTAACATTCCTTAGCTTCCCATAGAACACATAGTAAGGCCAACCCTCCACTTCCACCTTCCAAGCATCATTCACCAACTTCATATAGTTAGGATGATTCACCCAAAATTTAAAATACTTAAATGGTTTTGGCAAGCTGCCAACCTGGGGAGTTGTGGTAAGTAAAAGTCCACCGTGGTCAGAGACTCAAGGGGAGGTAGTTTGGGCTACACTAGTTGGGAATCTACTCAACCAAACTTCATTCACCAATACTCTATCAAGACGCTTGGCAATCGGATTCTCTTTCTGTTTGTTCCACTATGTGAACCAGCTGCCCGCCACCTTATGATCCTCCAATCTCATCTCCTCAATCCAATTATGAAAATCCTCCATACTAGCATTCAAGGACACTAGATTAGAGGTCTCATCAGGACCTATTACATCATTAAAATCACCCAATACAACCATAGGAACCAAACGTTTATTCTGTGCCAGCAACTCTCTATATAAAATCACTCTATCAGCCTCTTTGTTTGGGCTGTACACAATCATAAGACTAAATGGTTCTACTCCTCCAACAAGAACTTTCAAAAAATGCAGACCATCCTCCAACTTAGTAACAGAGATTCCATCTTTCCAAAATAACCATATTCTACCATTGGGAGACTTGGGGTAGTTATTCATATGTTTCAAATGACCAAAACTTCTACTTACTATATCCATACTATTCTCTACTCTTACTCTAGTCTCTATAATTGCTATAATATCAAGCTTGAGTATACACATCTTTTTAAGCACTGCAGAGTGCTTCTCAGGAGCATTCAAGCCCCTGATATTCCATCAAAAAATCTTCATTTCTTTTTCTTGCCCCGCCCCCTACCTTTAGCAGGCTGCGGTGGCTCAACACTCATTCTCCAAATTGGCTTGCTCAATGAAGGGAAAGCTTTATCATCCAACTGCACCTTCTTCTGACTAGAGGATAGATTCCACTGACTCTTTGCAATAGATGTAGGATCAGGAGCCCTAACCCTGTGCTTCATCCCTGTAACTACCTTAAAACCATCATCCTCAGGCACTGGAACAGTACTACTCTCTTCACCCACTTCCACTGCAGGCTCCTCACTTATCACAGACTCCGCAACCTGAATAACCATGTCCTGCACACTAGATTCAGCCCCAACTTCTATCACCCCTGCAACTTTTTCCTTCCCCTTCGAGCCCATTGACAGCACTTCCTGCACTTTCGGCTGCTTAACCACCCATACACGCTTTACCTTTCCTCTCAGATTCTCACAGTCATGCCCAAATACACCACACTTCTCACACTTTCGCGGCACATGACCAAAATCCACATCCACCAACATTTCAGGGCGCCCATCAGGGGTGATGCTCAGCTTGTTAATCAGATTAGTTTTGGTAGTGATCTCAACACACACCTTAGCAACACCATACTTAGTCCCCTGCTTTGTAGGATAATCCATACAAAGAGGCCGCCCTAAAGAGCTAGCAAGACGCCCTAGTCCCTCCTTAGACGTTAACTCAGATGGCAAATTTGACAAACGGACCCAGACTGGAACAGCAGAATTATCTATGGCTAGAGGTTGGATACCTGGTTCCCATTTCCTAAGCAGGACCATATTCTCACGATGATGCCACGGACCTCTTTCAAAAACCCAGCGGCAAACTTCAGCATTGGGAAATTGAAACAACACCAAACGATCCCCCAACCACGATACGCGTACCATCCCGTCTCGCCCCCAAATCCAGTTAGCCCAAAAGTGAATTGAAGACAGGGAAGCCGGCCGATCCATAAACTGCCCTACCAAGCTGTTAACCCATCGCTTTTCTCCCTCATCAATCACCGACTTAGGTATCCGAAGATACCCATTTACAAACTCCGGCTCGTAGTAGTCAAGCTTGAAGTCAGGACTGACGGTGAAAAGAGAAGCCCAGGTGCGTCCGTCACCGGCAACACCTGAATTGGCTCCGCCGGTGACGGCCGCCATCGAAAAACCTACTGGGACCAACTGGTTTATAATAAATAATTATTTATTCAAGGTAAACAAATATTATCTTCATGCCAGATCACATTACATCACAACTTTTGTTAATCATGTCCACATATTTCACGGTGAAACTAATAAATAGCTAAATTGGTTCAATATATTGAAAGTTTTTATTATTTTATGGTATTTCAAATAATTTTGATTATTATTTTTTGTCCATTGTTTAATTTCGCTATTTTTGGATGTTTACTCATAATAAAATTGTAATTATTATTTTATATCGAGAACAATTGATTGAGAGGGGGAAAAAAACAATTGATTATCATGAACTTAAGTATACATTCAATCCACGGTACATTGCAATTTCTAAACTTACTACTTTACCCAAGTAATTATCTATCTTCAGTTCACCAAATCATCAATAGGGAGAAACAGGATGCTCTGCGCATTCCTAAAGAAATTCCCAGGATCCACCTTCTTCTTTATCCTTACAAGCCTGTTGAAGTTCTGCTTGAAGTACTTCACCCCGTAGCTCCTCCTCGCTTCCTCGTAGCTCCCTTTCCCCGTCCCCTCCCTCGCAACAATTAAGTCACATTTTTATTGATTAAGCTGCTTGCGCGGTGTAATATCATGCATTAGGGTTGCGGAAGTAGGCGGACACACCTAGCTTACGGCCAAACATACAATCTTCATAGTTATCCATCACCACCTTCCTATCAGAGTTTCGCTCAAAGATATTCATCCCGCCTTCCACCATCTTGCCCAACTCTGTTGAAGTCTCAAAGTGTGGGTACCAGTTTGTATATTTACCTTCTGTTATAGTTGACTATGTAATTAAGGAACCTAGCTCGGCCATATATATAGCCTAGGTTATCTGATGTAAAGGCTAAGCCGTTTTGTGCATATAATGAAGATCTTGGATAGCACAGCCTCTCCCATGGATTAGTCCTGAACCTTAGGGATACCATGTTAATTCTCGGTATTTGTTTACGTTCGGTTTATAGTTGTTTACATGGTATCAAAGCCTCTGCTCTAAGATTTGTTTGTGGTATTCTCACGAGGTTTGTTTGCTGCTGTCTGGGTTGTCTTCTCATCCTCTGCACGTTCGGCGAGTTTTGGGATCAATTGCTCACAAAGTTATTGAGCTATTGAAAATATTGATATAGAAAATTAATTTCGTAGTTGACGTTAATTTTCTCCTTTAATATTGTCTTCCTAGCTCCATTTAGCTATGTTTAGTAGAGACTTATATGCCGCTTTACTCCGCTAATGTGTTATAGTATCTAATAAGGCGTTTTGTCATTGCCTTGCGCTTAGGCGTGCCTAAGCGTAAGGTTAAGCGTGCCTTTTTGAACCATGGTCTTAACTGGTGAGACGAAACAACCCGGTGCTGGCGCTAATGCCAAGGATGTTGCGGATTGGCAAGTTGGGAACGCTCAGCTGATCACCTGGTTGTTGGCGGCTGTCGACATGCCGACAGCTCTTAGCCTTCGGAGGTTCAGTATAGATAAATCCATGAACAACAAATTTTGGTACCACTTCTCGTCGTTTTCCCAATTCAGATCTAAACAGAGTGAACTCCTGCTTTCTTGATTCCTTCAAGCATCCTGTCTCCAAATTCTGTTCGGCGACGAAGCTGGTGGGAGCGGCGGAGACCCAGAAGCTACTACCGGCGGCTACTGCCAGCACTGTCGACCACGAAACCCAGAGTGGTGCCGGAGTATATGGTCGAGCAACAAATCGACGACCGCCATCCCTGCCAGCGGCGGATCCAGAATATAATAGAGCACTGTGCCGCATTTGAATAGAAAATTAGATACCGTACAATGTCAATTGTACATGATGATCTTTTAATTTAGTGAATCTTTCATCCATACTAATAACATACTATATCTCAAAGAAAATAATTAAGCAATCAGCGAGAAATTCATCTGTCATTTTGTTGCGTAATAAGTTTTCACATGTTCATTGCAGAAAATGTTTTCTCCGTAGTAGCTGCTGAAACGAGCTAGATCTACACTAAACGAATCAACTGACTAATTAATTTATATTTTGTATCAATCTCCGTTCCCACTAGCTTCTCTAGTAATTTTCGAGGAATTCCCGACTATGAACCACATGAGTGGCATACTATCGTAGATCCTTCTTCAAACAATGCATCTAATAGCCGGCAAAGTCTCGAGGATAAACTCTTGAGCAAGTTTGTCAATATTTTCTTCATCAAAAGACCTTAAAGAACTTATAGTATCTAGTTCACCACTCAACTGAAGTAATTTAAATGATGACTCAACAAGTTTGTAAATATTGTCTTCATCAAAAGATTGAAAAGCGGAGGATTCCGTTTCGGGTCCATTCGTCTCCTCGTTCTAATTTTGTATGTTGGGGATTCTGGGAATCTTTCGACTTCAGACAGAGAAGTGTGAGATTTCGTTTAGTGGTTTTTTTTATATCAATGAAACTTTACAATTTTAGTCTTTTATTTGTAAGATGTTTAGCTTTCATCGTTGATTTTATTCTTTTCAAATGAAATCATTGGGGCTAGAATTTTTAGTCTAAATCTAGCATAGTGCTTTGGATATATTCATTAAGACCATTTTTCAAGTTACACAAAATCACAAAATCTAGCATAGTGCTTTAAATATCACTAGGCTGAACACCTAAAATCGAAAATTTTATACGTACTATACTAGCTCTAGATCGAAGGAGGGCTGGACCGTTGCCCGGGGTGGCCCAGCCCTAGATCCGCCACTGATCCCTGCAATTCCTCAAAAACCCTCGAAAGAGCTCCATAAAATTGCACCCGACGGCCTTAAACTACCTCAGGGGGAAAGCCTCCCTCAAAACGCTTGTGGTCTCCTCGAGCTAAGGCAGATCTTCGATCGGGGTAAAATTTTGGCTCGTTTCTCAGAATCCCAAAGAAGTCGGATCTGAGATTTGGGGTTTTCAATTGATTAATTAATTTGAATCCCAGAACCCTAGTTCAAAAATAAGCACACCCGCCATGGAAGCTTGAGTGTTTTTCCCTCGATGACGCCATAACTCGGTACAAGCTCTCGACGGTGCACGATTTGATTTGAACTGGCGAATGGCTTTACCAATCTTGCTCGTATTTGTCATGCCTTTTCCACGTTTTTTACCCGGACGGTGAGACGGAACAGTCATCCTTGGAAAGTGGCTTGTGCGGAGTGGAGGATAGGGGTGTTCAAATGGTTACCATGGTTATAACCAAACCAAATAAGGCTAAATTCCATTAACCATGGAATACAATATCATAACCAAACCGTCCAAACTAATACAACAACCAAATTAACCAAACTAAAGTTTAATCGGTTTGGTTAATTAGTTAACCAGATTAACCAATATAAAATCACATTATCGTTGACGATGAAAATTTTCCGGTTAATGCATCAATTCGCAATTTATATAATGAATAAAACATAACAATCAACACGTAGTTATAGTTGACCCTTAACAAAAATACATGCTACTAAGATAATTATCTTACGATTAGTATAGAAGTATTCACCTAACAAAAATTTATGACAATGGTATGGGTTAATGAATTGTTGTGTTTGTGTAAATTGACTTAGTCTCTTAGCAATTATCATAGGCTGGAGCCTGAAAATGACCTTCCTTTCAAGTTTTCATCCATCATAATGTATGAATTTTATCTAAATTAGGCGTCCATATGTTGTGGTCTACACTTTACATATACAAATATACACGATATGAGCAATATTGAGCTTTATATTTTATGAGTCTAAAAGGGATGAACGTTAACTCTCGAGTGGTTATGCAAAGTATTAAGTATGTGTATATAATATATGTTAGATATATGACTAATTACTTAACTGGTTAATTTGGTTTGACTCGTTAGGAGTGTCTGAAACCAAGCCAAACCACCTAAACCAAACAAGCCAAAAACTTTAACCAAACCAAACCAATTATCCAAATTATCCAAATAGTACCGGTTAAAATGATTACCACGGTAACCATACCGTTTGAAAACTCCTAGTGGAGGAGTGGAGTTTGGTACAGATGATGGAGGGGGTTTGTTATGGTCGTCAGCGGGGGATACAGTGGCGGTGGTGGGCATGGTGATGGTGAAGACGACTATGAGGGGAAACAGAGGAGGAAGGCATGGAAGAGAGAGAATGGGCTCTTTTTTATTTATTTTGGTTGTTTTAATGTAATTAAAATAGAAGCTTTCCATCTGGCATTAAGTTTGACGAAAAGTTGTCATGTCAATAAAAACCTGTTAGTTCAGTCATAACCAATTATTTTTCCGTTAGAGTTATAGATGAAATGGCTATTTCTGTGTATTTTTTAAAACTTGACTATTATTGTTACAATCCATTAAACCAAAGATTATCAAACACAAGAAATTGAGATATCACCATCTTCTCCTTGTGTTAAATCTAGACAAATTCAAGACCTTTGTTTAGTCTCTTAGTCCCAAATGGAAACATGTGATGAATCCATTCTATCAAGACTTCAATTGCATCCATTCAACGAAGACTTCATTTAGTTTTTATTAGCTTTTCTCACTCACAACCAAGATTTTCAATTGTGAAATTAAACTCGCAAGCCTACCATATACAAATAATCGAGATAGGGATGTTCAAAACATTATTTATTTGTTCATATCTTTAATTATTAACTATAAAGATAATTAATTTGATATTCGAGAATATCGATGACATTCCAAAATATTATGGAATTGGTATATCAAATTTATTTAGAATTGAAATCTCAATGGATTTTAGATTAATATTATTCGGTATTGGAAATACCTGCATTTGGTTAGAAATAAAATAATAATAATTTTACAAACTCTCATCTTCCCCATGCTAATCCATTTCTGCTCAAATACAGGTATGATTTATAGTTGCTTCTTTCTCATGCCATGCCAGCGCAACTAGTTAAGACTCTGGTCCCCTGTGGCAACAAAAATATATATACGTGGCTGATTTATAGTTGCTTCTTTCTCATAGATTTATCATATATGGTATGGTTCAACCATCACGAAATAATTTTATATCAGTAGTAATATAATAATTAGTATTATATATTGATTGAGAGAAAATGACTATGCTGAACAAAAGTTAAGTATACATTGATTCAATTCAATCCATTAATTAATAATAAATGCCAATTTCTGAACTTACTCTACATTACCCAAGTAATTAATCATCAATGGGGGGAAACAGGGATGCTCTGCTCATTCCTAAAGAAATTCCCAGGATCCACCTTCGTCTTTATCCTCACAAGCCTGTTAAAGTTCTGCTTGAAGTACCTCACCCCGTAGCTCCTCCTCGCTTCCTCGTAGCTCCCTTTCCCGTTATGGTTCACGCCCAGGTCTATATCCCTATAGTTCAGGAAAGCCTCCCTCGGATCCTTGGAAACAAACGGCGTCATGAACTCGTACAGCCGCCTCGTCAGCTCCACGTTCCGCCTCGCCACCTCGTCCCCTCCCTCGTTCCAATTCGCCAGGTACTGGATCTTCCACAGGTTCCCAGCCCGGTGGGGAAACGGCGTCGCATCGGCCGCGATCTCGGCCATCCTCCCGCCGTACGGGTTGAAGACCATCCCGGGGAGCTGGAGCTCGATCATCTTCTTCCACAGATTCTCCAGTCCGTCTCTTGGAATCGGCTTCTTGACGTAGTCCGATTTTCTTTTTAACCGGGTCAGGGATGGGGTCCGGTTGAGCAGAATTTCGGTCGGGGTGGAAATCGCTAGGTCCGACCAGAACAAGACGGATTTAATCCAGCTGGTTTCCACGCAGTCGGATTGGGCCAGGCCCAACTCAGGGAAATCCGACTTCATTATTGAAAGAAGCCGGGCCGAATCCCCTATAAAAAAGCCCAGGAACCGGGCTCTGACTGTCCTCCCGGTCCCACCCCCAGACGCGTTGACCACGGTCAGAGTGATTCGGATGAAAAGGTCATCGTCCAGCTTGTCGGCCACGTGTTGCCACCTGTCAACCACATCCGTGGCGTTCTGTTCCAGAGTACGGAAAACGCTGAACGAGGTGACGAGTTCGGGAACTCGGACGAGGTTGACTTTGTAGGCAATCACGACGCCGAAGCTGGCGGCGCCGCCGCCTCTAATCGCCCAGAAGAGATCCTCCCCCATGGACTTACGATCCAAAAGCCTGCCGTCCACATCGACCAAGACGGCGTCGGCGACGTGGTCGACGGTGAGGCCGAACTTCCGCATCATGTTGCCGTACCCGCCGCCGCTGACGTGGCCTCCGACGCCGACGGTGGGGCAGATTCCGGCGGGGTAGGCGTGGACGCCGCTCTTCTCGGCGATTCGGTAGTAAACTTCGCCGAGGGTGGCGCCGGTTTGGATCCAGGCGGTGTCGGTTTCGATGTCGACGTCGACGGCGCGGAAGTTGAACATGTCGAGGATGAAGAAAGGGGAGCCGGAGGAGACGTAGGAGAGGCCCTCGTAGTCGTGGCCGCCGCTACGGATCTTCATCTGTAGGCCGTGGGTGCGGGCGCAGAGGACGGCGGATTGGACGTGGGAGACGTGGAGGGCGGTGAGGATGAGGAAGGGTTTGGGAGTGGAGGAGGTGTTGAAGCGGAGGTTGCGGATGTAGGCCTGGAGGACGGCGGAGTATGAAGCGCCGTCGTTTGGGGTGTAGATGAATTTGGAGATTGGGTGGGAAGGGTTGGATTTGGAGATTAGGCACTGGACGAAACTTGCTTCGGTTGAATCATCTGATGAAGCTGGTGCCAGCTGGCATGATGCTACTGTGATGGAGATGAACAGTAGGAATGAGAGCGTCGGAAGAATGGGCTTTGTGGTCGCCATTTTAATTAATTCTCTGTGTGTTATTGAGGTGGGTTTGATTGTCAGACCAGTGACGGCCTAACGGGTATTTATAATGAAGCAGTGGGTTTTTTTTTTTTATGGAATTCTGGTGTTGAAAAGAGCGTGTTTATTTTGTATAAGTTTGAATGTCCACTTTTAGATGCAATTGGCCGATTAATGATGAGTTGACTTTTGACTTTCTAGAGCGAGCGAGCGAGCTCATGGTTGTCAAGTCAAATATGTCTCTTTGGTTTACTTTTTTTTTTTTTTTTGCATCGTGCTGATTGTGTGGATATGTTTTAACTTTGATTTTCAACTATTTAATACAGTTTAGTCTAGATGTATTTAGAAATATGCAATGATGAATAATGCTAGCTATGAACTACATAGAAAAAACTAATAACATAAAAGGAAAGGGTTTATTTTAATCTTTGCATAAAACATACGTGAGCTTTGTTATAGCTAATATTCCTAATCCTAGACCTAATCCATTATTTAATTATCACTAACCGAATACAACAACAAAGACGATGACCACGACGACACATGCACGTAACGAAATTTGATAGTTTGTATTTTTTCCCATCTTTGATCATTAGGTAACAAAATGATAAATTCGACAACGCAACCACTATAGTGTATAGTATTTGTAAGTATTAGCACCAGATAACATTAATGATCGTGATTTTTTATAAAAACAAGAAATTAACGTATTATGTTAAATAAACAATATTATTAGTTCATCAAATGTATGCGTTAATGCATTATTACGACACCGTTTGATTCAATCAACAATGTATTATCCATTACTATCAAGTATCAACTATCAAGCAGAGAGATGCGTGTGACACAGTGTGATTATGTGCTGTTTGTAATTTAACACCAGTATATATATAATTTATGAGTTTATTTTAATAGTTGGTTCATAAGATAAGTTTGAAGAATATATATAAAACCGAAGTATTATTGCGATTAGAAACAAGGGTTGGTAGAATGGTAGCCACTACGGTTGAACCACTAACAAACAAGCTGACAAGGCCGCGAAGGTTGCGGAAATTCTGCCAATCAATCAGCTTCGATCTTAATTTGTTTGACTGGGCAAGGTCAGTTATAGATTGCGATTGCAATTTGTAAATATGGAAACACCTGGCCATTGACCTAGCTCCCTCCCTCATGGATCTCAAATACTGCTTGTGAAAGATACATTTATTATCTGGAAGTTAGCTAGCTACGTACGTGCGTCGTCATGCATAGCGCATTGTTCATGTCATCAACAGGTTTTTTGTTCATAAAAAATTGAATGAAGTTCACCTTCGCGCGGATCGTTCTCTAGTTCCGCCTATTGATAATGGGCACCAGTCAGCGCAGTTTAGCGATCTAATAACAAACAAAAACAAAAAAAACAGTGATTAATTGGTGATGATTAGGGATTAAAGTTGGGTTAAAGGACCATGGTCGAGGGTCTGCTAGGTCTGCTAACCTTATTTTCCCGGGGGTTTTCAATGTTTTTTTTAATGAATGATGATACAAAACTTTTATTGCAAAAATGAATGGAGACTTGCCAAAAAATGGCAAAGAAACTGACAGACAAAGACACAGGAAAAAAAAAAGGACCAATGTGAGAACAATAAAAAGAAATGAAAACAAACTCCAAAATCAAAACCCACAAAACGAGCAAATCCAAACAAGTCTCGATAAAAAAAAGGAAAAGAAAAACACGAAGAAGCAAAAGAAAAAGAACAAACTGTTAGCCCGCTCCAATCCTCGCCCATTCCTGAAAGAGCTCATCTGAGATAAGGTTGAAAGCTCGAAGCCATCTCCCAGTCGCATGACGAATCTTGTGGCTAACCTCAACTGGGGATGATTCGGTATTCCTAGAAATTCGGTTGTTTCTCTCTGTCCAAATATACCAAAACACCGCATGAGGTAGAACTTTCATACAATCACTAAGCTTTGTGTCATACCCTAATCCTCTCCAAGCCGGAAGAAATGATGGTATCGTTGATGGGAGAGGGCCGTGTAGCTGAAGAGATGATGTGAATCTTGCCCAAACATCTTTTGAAAATGAACATGTGAACATGAGATGACAAATCGTCTCTTCTTGGCACTTGCAAAGAGCACCAATTTGTGATGATCATGCCTCTTTTTCTTAAGTTATCAATAGTAGAGATCTTTGCTAAATAGGCCATCCAAACGAAGCAACATATCTTCGAAGGCACATGCGAGATCCAAACAAGCTTGTGTTTGAAACGCGTTATGTTTACAATCGACTCAGACCGTGTTGGATACAATACATGGTTGCAACCGGACATAAAAGAGAACCAAATGCCCACCTCTACCTGTTTCTTCGTTGCTATTACCTTGCCAACATTTCATGTTGTGTTACAGAATTTGCAAGCTTATTCTTAATAGAAAAATGTTAGGTTATCCTTTGATAACGATTTACTATTTATATTATGAGGTGTTGATGATTGTCATTCACATACATATGAGCATTTGATTGTGTTTTGTGTTTAAATGACTTGATTTGTAGGTCTGTATAGCCACAACAAATTCAGCCATGAACAAAAAATGTTAGCCGTACCAAGAATCAAACTAAATCAAATCGGTTTGGGCCGATTGCCTTAGCCCAACTAATAAAAAGACAGCAGCGCCCGCAGGCTTTTAGCCCTTCCTATTCGAAATCAAAAGAATAGTGAGCCTTGGAGATTATTATTATTATTTCTACCGGTAAAATAACTCGATTACCAGTTAAGTTTGAGAATTAGAGTAGACATACCATTTAAGTTTAAATAAGACGTCGGATATCATTAAAGGCGACAAAATGTGCATACGTCTACTTTTCCATCCACTCCAAACTTTTAATTACTTTTTGGTACCCAAAACTTTTAAAAACATTCAAAACTATGTTTCAACAAGTTTTATCTAATATAAAACTAAAAAACTTTCTAAACATATTATTACTAAAATGGCTAATCAAAATTTTTCAATAAAATAGATAAATTAGTAAAAATATTTTCCCGTTCCCGTTCCCCTCCACCTCCAAGCAGCCAGCCGCTGCCACGCGTCACGATCCCTGGGTCCCAACCTCCCCACCAACAATCCTAAAGAACATCGGATGAACATGTTAGAAATCGAACAGAAAAATTAGGGTTACCGATATGGCTGAGTCGCGGACTAGGTCGCTCTCTTTAAGACGTTCGCGGCACTGCCTTCATTGCGCACGGCAGACTATCAGCCGGTCGCCTCCAGGATAAAACAGCCACTCTAATTTAGTTTGCTCGGCGGTTTTGTGCGAAAACCGGAGCTCTATGAATTCACTCTCTCTCTTGCTTCTGCTCTTCTGAGGTGTGTTTAGAGGGTCTGGGGCGTCTCCTATTTATAGGAGCAGAAAACCAAGAATATTCCCTCTTTCTTTGGGAATAAGTCATATTTTAATTAGGGAGATAATTAATCTCATAATTAAAATATAATATATTAAGATAATTATTCCTAATTATCTCCATAATATTCCTTTTATTAATTATCCATCTTATTTATGTATTATGGGAAAATACTGGATAATTAATTAGGAATTTCATTTATAGCTTTTCAAAGCTATTCATCCCAACAATCCCCCACTTGAATAGTTTTGAAACTATCTTGAGCATCAACAGTTCCATAAGATCGGGCATAAGCTAAGGTATCGCGAAGATTTGAACCTTAACGTAGTGGTTACACTTCCGATTTCATAAGGGTGACTCGTAGTCTTGAACCCTATCTCAGACAATGTAGCACACCGGATCTTTTCATTGAGTGATATTCTCTCATAGGCCGTGCGTTTATGGCCATGCACGTTATCCCGGTTTAGTGAACGCTCTAGCAACTTTGTGCCTCCAAAGTTCCATAGGGAGCGGCCCCACTCCCACATTCACATAGGTGAGTCTATCAGAAGTACCCCCAAAGTAAAGTACTTCACTCCACATAGAGTATAGATCTCATTAAGAGTTTAACTCAACCTCCAAGGCTTTGGGATTCATGCTTCACTATGCATGAACTTTTCGCATACTACTCATGACTTGTTATTACCCATTGAACCCATTTCTTGGGATCTCCAGTCTATTGGGTCGGGTTACCATCACTTGTAGTATGTGGTTCGGTAGGCATAAGTCCCATACCCTTGACGGTATTTTGGACTTTCTCTCTAGATAATCCTTTCGTCAAAGGATCAACTAGATTCTGTTAGGACCTTACAGGATCCACCCTCATTGCTCCTATCGTTAGGAGTTCTCTTACAGTACTGTGCTTACGACAAATTTGTCATCTCTTTTCGTTCTAGAACCGGTTCCCTTCTTTTGCAATAGTTGCGGTGCTATCACAATTAATCAACTACCGGAGGGATCGGTCTTTCCCATAAGGGAATCTCTAGTAGTGACCATCTCAATCAACTTTCCTCTTTACTAGCCAATTCTAGTTCTATCATTTCCGATTTCTTAGTTGATTGAGCCAGGATCGTTTACTTCTTAGACTTCCAAGACATAGCTTCTCTATCGATGTTTAAAATACATCCTCTTGTTGTCTTGGAGTCCGCTATAGGGTATTCTAATCCGCATCACTATACCCTACCAATACAGCAAAAAACCGTTGATAACTTATATCAAGGTCTACTGTTCTTAAGGTGCCTTATGACCCCTTTCAATAGCATTTCAATGCTTCATACTAGGACAATCAGTAAGCCCGCCAAGTACCCCCACTAAAATCGGGTATCATGTTTATCAGTTGCCTCCTGCAGACTGTAAATGCTAGTATATTCAAACTTTCTTACACCGTCTTAGGTGTTGCTTAAATATTTATACGAGCATCATCAAACATGTATGCAGGTGTACATCTTGTATTTTCCTAGTTATTAGGATCTCTAAGCATAACATTTGTTTCATTCAGATCCTTCACATTCAAAAATTCTCAACCATCATGGGTTTTCAATATTGACATTACGAGTCTTTGTACCAAAATCGATGTGT